AGGAACTTTTACTATTAACACTATTAGTTATATTACTAAAACTGGGTAAAAATTTTTTATTTCCTTTTTTTCTAATCGAAGAATTATTTCCATGTTGAGAAAGGTTATTTGGAGGAACATCAGGTACTTGATCAATATGTGGAATTTGAGTAGATTGTTTAGCTAATTCTTGAACGGCTATTCGAAGGTTTTCTTGATCAGTTAAAGTAAAAGGGAATTCTATTCTACTGGATCTATTTGTCACGTTATTTGTTTTTGAAATAAGATGAGAAAAAATGCTAACTACACTTCCACGACGACTAGCACCAGAATTTTGAAAAAGTCTACGAGGACGAGCCACAGCTTTGACAGTAGACCATGGTGTTCCAAACTTTGAAGACCGATTCATCGTTTTTCGGTTTTTTTTTTTTTTTTTTTAAAAAAAAAAAAACTCTATATAAAGATTATATAAAATTATATATATATATATATAAAGATTATATCAAACGTGATAGGTAAGGATTGGAATTTCAGAAAGTTAGAAAGATCAAACTCTTTTTGGAGAAAAAAACAAAAAATAATCCCAACCAGTGGGAACAAAAAAGGGAGTATTTAAATAATTTAAGGTAGTGTGACTTTTGTTTTAAAAGTCACCGATCTAATGTAAATCTATATAGTGTAAAAATAAAATGTATAAATAGATGATATAAAATTGATGATGAAATAAAGCAGGTAAATAAAGTAGATAAATAAAGCAGATAAATAAAGCAGATAAATAAAGCAGATAGTGACACAAACAATAGAAAAAACCCGTTGATTCTAAAATATTGTATCAGTTGTCAAAATTTATTCGCTTTGAAAGAAATTATGATGAGATTTGAAAATTTGTTATTTATGAATTCCATGAGAAAATCTGTATATATACAATATAAAATATATTATAAAAAAATAAAAATAAAATATAATAATATCTCGCAAACTTCCGTGTGTTGACAGTTTTCTTTTATTTGTTGATTAAAAAAAGAGATGTATGTGCTGTCTTCACGGGGGCTTTTACAGAACAAGGAGTGGTCAAAATATCAAAGGGGCAGATGCGAAATAAGGCAAAAAAAAAGTCGAGGGGATTTTGGAAATTAAATTTACGTGTGCGTTTTTTTACAGTTATAACAAATAATTAAGAAAGTTTTTTTTATGATACTAACTTAAAAAATTTTTTTTAAAAAGATTCTTTGTTTAAATAAAAAAAAAAATAAAGAGGCCGGTACATGGAGATGTAAACCGGCCGACATTTACATGCCAGCAATGATGCATATATATATTTTTATTTTCTATTTACTGTAATATTATATCATTTGATTTATGCATACGTATTTAATAATCTATGTTACGTTTCATTTTTTTGTTAATTGGACGCAGAATAAATAACAATGAATTCGGAGATGGCTGAGAACAGAATAAAGTACGTGGCTCAGAACGCTCAGAAAAAAAAATTTTTTTAAGGTTTCACAATATATAATTATATAATTTTTATTATCCGAAAAATATATTCAGATAATAAACTATATAATATATATATACATATATTATATATACGTATATTATATATACGTATGACATTAATAATATATATATATTATCCAATTAACTAATAAATTATTATCTACGGAGATTTGTCCGAGTGAGTTTTAAAAGAAAATTTACATCGCATGTACAAAACCAACCTGTTTTTCATATTTTAACTCGATGCATAGATATTAACGTTAACACCAAAGAAATGCATAATAAATAAATCACAAGGTTCGGATGACATAAACAAGGTTAATTGTTCCTAAAGGATTAACTTGCCGATTGTACTGATCTTAAGTTTATTCTTTCAAATATTCCCTCGATCACTCTTTCGATCATCCTTTAGATCATCCTTTCGATCATCCTTTCGACTATTCATTCGTTTATTCTTTTGGTAACCAAGCTTTATTTTTATTTATTTTATTTATTTTATTGGTTTTCTTGATTATTTTATTTATCATTATTCTAATTCGTTTTGCTTTTACACATTAGATTCTTTTACACATTAGATTCTCGTTTTTCTTTTGCACATTAGATTCTTGATTACCTTTATTTAATTATTATTTATTATTCTATTATTTATTCTTTCAACTTTTTTCTAATTTTCACAAAGTTTTTATTTAAAAACGAAACATTTAAGAATTGAAACTTCTCCTTAAATGACAATATGTACAGAGTATTTCGGAATAATTGCTGCGTCAAGAAATAGTTTAACCGATAAATTGGATAAATTCAAAAAAATGATACCAATAAAAATGATGAGTTTGAAATCCATGGACTTTAAGATGATCCTAATGCAATCAATAAAAAATCAATAAAAAAAAAATACAAAAGACATGAACAGTAATATCATCCAACATTCAAAAATCAATAAACGTCCAATGATTAACAATTTTTTTGATACACATGTTTCCTTCAAACATAATATAACATAGTATGGAAACACTTTTTTGGAAAAATAATGTTTTTCAATATTGCTAAAGTACGTAGGGAAATACGTAGGGAAATACGTAGGGTACGTACCTACTGTACAATCTTGTAAATCAGGAATCTTTTAACATAGATTAACCAAAGGAAGCTTTATAATGTAAAAGCAATGCAGGTTCTAATGAAACGCATCAGTAAAATCAGTAAAGAAAAAAAAGGTAAAAAAAAAAAAAAAAGGTAAATTGGCCACCATGTAAAATGTGATACCAAATTAGTGTCTTTTTTCTATTAATATATTACGGCAAAATACGACTATTTATAAAAAAAACATATGGATATTCATTAGCTGTAATTCTAAATATATATATCCAACGCTAACGCTAATACGTATATATGTGTCAGATATACGTCGAATATATATATACGTATCGGATATATCAGACATATCTGATATACGTACGTACGTATACGTGTCAGATATCTGATATATAACGTACCTAAAGTATATAAGTATATTCGATATCGATTTGATATCTGATGTATCTGATGTATCTGATGTATGTTTATTTATTATATATATATATTTATTTATTTATTATTTATTTATCCTTGTTGCCCTTACCGCGCATTCAGAAGCTATATCAATACATCTTTAAACCATTCAGTTGGTTAAACTTTTTTCCCAGGTTTAACTGTAAAAGAGAAAAACATTGTCACGGCTATTTACGTTAAAATAACGACGATTACTCTGATTTATTCAATTAATTCAATTGATTCAATTGGTAAAAAAAAAACACAATGATGATTAGTTAGATGCACAATCAATTGATAGTCGTCATATTGAAAATTTTTTTTAAAAAGAATGGTTTTCCGTTTTATTTATCAGGGCATCACTTGTTCACAAGGGACCATATTGATATATCTATATGGATTTTTTCCTTGACCTTGAGAACGACTTTATAATATATATATATATATATATATATATATATATATATGCACATATATGCATACATATTGATATACATACATATACATATTATACATATTATACGTAGATTCTAGATATACATATTATATACATTTTGATATATACATATTATACAGTTATACATACGTACATATTATACATGCATGCATGTATGTATGCACGTCTCGTTCTTTAGAAAAAAGGATCGTTGAGATTACTTTAGAAAACTCTGATTTTTTTTTTTTTTTTTTTTTTTTTGTGTGTGAAAACTCTGAATTATTTTTTTTTTAGTTAATGTAAGGTTTTTTGATCTCATACAAGATGTCAAAACAAAATGCAAAGAAATTAAAAAGAATTTTTTTTTTTTTTTTTAGAACAATTTCGTACGTACTTGCGTACGTTGTATGTTAAAAACATTGTTGGAAAGATATAATTTTGAACCTAAAAACATTATAGTAAAAACATTATTGTAGTAAAAACATTATTGTAGTAAAAACATTATTGTAGTCGTTTTTTGTGAAACGTATGTAGCTGGATCATTCATGCGCAAAATATTCGATCATTTTCGTGTTTTTAGAGTCAATACTTATTTTTGTACTTTTCGCAACCAGAAAAGTCACACCAATCAGGGCCATCTCCTGAGCAGAAAAACGCCTTCTAACGCTAAGTCATAAAAATTCGTATTAATTGTCATTCAAATCCGGTCGCATAGAAATCTAGCCGCATAGAAATCTAGTCGCATAGAAATTTAGTCGCATAGAAATCTAGTCGCATAGAAATCTAGTCGCATAGAAATCT